CTACAAGCATACTTCCTGTTGCTGAGGAGAGGAGACTGTATTTACGACCTGTAAACACTTCAAGGTTTCTATTGGTCACCGTTTGTAAAACACGCTGCTGCTGGTGTTCTGATGTCGATGCTCGGTGTGAGTGAAGAGAAAGACACGAGCTTTGGCTCCTGGTGTATGCGTCTGAAGAGAGTACCGTGACCCCCTCACCTGGAGCACGGGGGGTTTGATCTAAGACATAAGCTTTGGCTCCTGGTGTATGCGTCTGAAGAGAGTACCATGACCCCCTCACCTGGAGCACGGGGGTTTGATCTAAGACATAAGCTTTGGCTCCTGGTGTATGCGTCTGAAGAGAGTACCATGACCCACTCACCTGGAGCACGGGGGGTTTGATCTGAGACATAAGCTTTGGCTCCTGGTGTATGTGTCTGAAGAGAGTACCATGACCCCCTCACCTGGAGCACGGGGGTTTGATCTAAGACATAAGCTTTGGCTCCTGGTGTATGCGTCTGAAGAGAGTACCATGACCCACTCACCTGGAGCACGGGGGGTTTGATCTGAGACATAAGCTTTGGCTCCTGGTGTATGTGTCTGAAGAGAGTACCGTGACCCCCTCACCTGGAGCACGGGGGGTTTGATCTGAGACATAAGCTTAGGCTCCTGGTGTATGTGTCTGAAGAGAGTACCGTGACCCACTCACCTGGAGCACGGGGCTGTTGTCGAAGTTGTAGGCGCTGGGCCGGCCCTCCAGCGTGGAGAAGGCCACGTTGCCCCCGGTGAGCGGCGAGATGTCGCTGAAGTCGTCGGTGCAGAGCGCCTGCTGCTCGTCCTCTCCGGTGCGGATGAAGCCCCGCCCCGCCTTCTGGTAGGTCTTCTCACAGGAGCCGCTGTAGTACTGATAGGGCACCCAGGGCCCGCCTTCACGAGTCCGCTTGTAGATGGCGAAGCTCTCGGGGCGGCTGGTGTGGAACTTCAGCCGGACGTAGGTGATGTCGAAGGCCTTACCTGCAGAGGGAACACACACGGGGTTAAAACTCATGGACAACAGCTCCTCAGTTAAACATCTGTTATAGAGGCGCTACGACGAGATCCAGGTCACTTCATATTTACGCCCTGCTCTATCGAAACCAGGATGTATGCACTAGGGATGTTACGTTCACGAACGATCCGGTTCTTTTGAACGGCTCTTTGGTACGAACGAAGGGAACCGAGTCGTACTTGGTGAGAGCTGTTCTTTTTATCGTAGGTTCACTGCCTGCTATGAATCCACTCGCCTTTACGGGCGGGGAACCTCCGGCCCCCGGGCGAGACCATTTGGTACGGCCCTCGAGGTAATTTATAAACACACGCAAAAAAGAAAAACATTAAGAAATCTAGACCGCAAAAAAATGAAACAAGCGAGTGCCTGTTTTTCCTGGGTTAGGTCAGGGTCCTTGAACACAACACGAGCCTAACGTGTCATCACGTGGTATATGTCCCGTCTGCAGGGGTGCAGTTCTGCCGGAGAGCACCAGAACGTCGCTCCACCACTTCACAAAGTGCAGTACCCATAAGGAGCCGTACACATGCCGCAGTGTCTGCGTGGCTGTGTCTTTAGTTGAAAGCCCAGAGGAGATCTGTTCATCTGTCATACTGATCATACAGTCAATCACTTTGCTGTTATTAGCATCTGGTTAGCTAGCTATGCTAACGAATATAAGAAGCTTTTTCTCCAACCAGTGAGGTAAAGGCACATCTTTATATGATCATTATAGTTATAAAGAAATAAGAGAATAAAGTAAACCGGTATAAAATACTATATGACAGTAAAAAAAAGTTGTTATTAATAAACAAGAATAGAGTTTGAAAGGAGAGTGATTTGTAAAATATCCATAAAGAAAAATTAAATCTGTTTCCAGTTCAGTTTCATATCGTGTTGAGAGATGTTTCCATAGATCTCTAATGTTGCTCTCAAAGTGCTCCAGATTGATGCTTTCAACCTCAATATTTAAAAAAAAATCTTCCCGGGGGAGCATGCCCCCGGACCCCCCTGGAGGAGGTGAGGTCCCCCCTAGAGGAGGTGAGGTCCCCCCTAGAGGAGGTGAGGTCCCCCCTAGAGGAGGTGAGGACCCCCCTAGAGAAGGTGAGGTCCCCCCTAGAGGAGGTGAGGTCACACCGTGCACGTGCGTGCATGCCACACCGTGCACGTGCATGCATGCCACACCGTGCACGTGCACGCATGCGCGAGTCATGGTGAGATATCTGGATTCAGAGGTTGCTGTTTCTTTGCTCAGCATGAAAGAAAGGTGAAATGAATGGGCTGTGATTTTAGTATTTTGAAGCAGAGGTCAATCATCTGTACGGCCCTCGGAGGATGCTGAAAAAATGAAATGGCCCTTGAGAGGAAAAGGTTCCCCACCCCTGGCCTAACGCACGCTGCTTGAGTCGCAGTTTGGCTGAGAGATGGAGCAAGTTCTACATTTGACTGTGAGTAAAAGTAGATTTCTGGCAAAACAGTCAATCTTTATCCTGGTGATTATTTCACAGATAAACCTGATACACGCAGACACGCAGACACGCCCACACGCAGACACGCCCACACGCAGACACGCCCACACGCAGACACGCCCACACGCAGACACGCCCACACGCAGACACGCCCACACGCAGACACGCCCACACGCAGACACGCCCACACGCAGACACGCCCACACGCCCACACGCCATCAGCATAGAAACCCATACGAGGTGTTGATGAGACGCAAACTACAGCTCAGCACACATCTGTCTGACATCAAACCCAACGTACCTCCATCATAACACACACATTATGAAGGTGATGGACATCAACCCGCACCATGTGGAACACGGTACATTCTGATCCGATGAGAGCTCCCCAAAGACACACGGTGAAGGTCCACAGAACATGGAAACTGAATGCTCCGTTTCTCTGAACATAACGTCACATAATGATCTTCAACCCATCCTTTCAGAGTCAGTTATCATCAGCTGATCGTCTGAGGACTAACCCATCCAACATGGCAAAGTGGTACGTTAGCATCGAGCACTTCCATCTCCCTCACTCTGTCATGACGTGTCTTTTCTTTCTGAAGTCCTTTTTATGCGACGGGACAATTAAGATCAACTTGAGGAATCTTCTAGAAGCTTCTTGCTGTTGTAAGTTCACGGCTGCTCTCTGTAGTCGTTGGTATACATGTGACGTCTGAGCGTCTGCGGTTTGTTTAAGGTCTGCTGGAGGGTCACCTTGAGTGGGAGATAACGGGGGTTTAACCCCTGAAGGCCGTGCAGCTGCATGTCAGCCAGAGTTTACTAAACATGGAGTATTATTATTACGTCTGCAGGAAGCGTTCAATCTGAGACTCCTGGAAACACAGAGGGTCTCTCTCTGAGGGGGGGGGCAGGAATGTGAAGTGGAGTTGGAACATGCTAAAGCGCGGGATGGTTCTTCAACACCACACACACACACACAGAGACACACACACACACACACAGAGACACACACACACACACACACACACAGAGACACACACACACAGAGACACACACACACACACACACACACAGAGACACACACACACAGAGACACACACACACACACACAGAGACACACACACACACACACACACACAGAGACACACACTCACAGAGACCCACACACGGAGACACTCACACACACAGAGACACACACACACACGGAGACACTCGCACACACACGGAGACACACACACACACACACAGAGACACACACACACACAGAGACACACACACACACACACACACACAGAGACACACACACACACAAAGACACACACACACACACTCACAGAGACCCACACACGGAGACACTCACACACACAGAGACACACACACACACACGGAGACACTCGCACACACACGGAGACACACACACACGGAGACACACACACACACACACAGACACACACACACAGAGACACACACACACAGAGACACACACACACACACACACACACACAGACTTGGCGAGTTGCAGCAGGCTCCATGTTCCAGGAGCCGTCAGTCAGCGCGAGGAACGCCGGCATGTTTGAGTGTGTGTGTGTGTGTGTGTGCTGTTTGCTCTGCTAAAGAATCCACTCAGTAAACAGAGGGCCCCCCTCCCCACCCCCCTCAGAGGGCCTCCCCACCCCCCTCAGAGGGCCCCTCTGTGTGGACGGCAAATAAAGGTGAAGCAGCTGATAGGAGAAACAAAAGGCTGCAGTTTATTACAGGAAACAATGAAGCAACTGCAAACACACCGGCTTCCTCCTGTGTGTGTGTGTGTGTGTGTGTGTGTGTGTGTGTGTGTGTGTGTGTGTGTGTGTGTGTGTGTGTGTGTGTGTGTGTGTGGACAGAAGTACAGCAGAAACGATGAATTAAGGGATATTTTCTTTTCGTGGATTAAGCAATAATTCTTTGTTGGATTTGCATTTTTTATTAACTTGGATTAGTTGATTTTTTAATTTGATTATGTGATATTTTGTAATTGGATATAAGCATTTTTAACATATTTTCAACCATTTTTTTAAAACTTGGTTTAGCAATATTTGTAGTAGATTTAATGATTCTGATATTTCTTAGAATCAGATTTAGCCATTCTTTGTCATTTGGTGGTTTCTGAAGCTCGTTGATCATCTCAGTTTATGAACAATCCTTAAACATTAAAGGACCTTTAAAATCACGTCTACTCCATGGAAACATCAGCTCCTTCCGGACTCTTCTGGATCTCACAGACAGCTAAATGCAGAGAGGAGCTCCGAGGAGTTTCACAATAAAAGGGAGATTAATCACTTTTATTTAAATATGATCAAGAACCCGACCAGCCGGCAGGAAGTCCTGTCCCCCCCCGACGTCTCTTTAAATAAAACACAAAAGCATCTGTCGGCGTCCAGCAGACACACACAGAGGGAAACTGAGAGGAAACGAGGCAGCCTTATAACACTCAGTCACACGACAAGTATATCAATACATCAATACATGACGTTTCCTGTCACGTGTTCCTCACTGAGGCCTCTTTCTGTACTTCAGAATAAAAGCGGCTCCAGGGAAACGGCCAGCAGTGGAGAACTCACAACATGTCTGACACCCAGAAACCTTAAGAGCACAGGAAAAGAGGAAAGACTTAAAGTGGACCTATCATGGTATATTTAAATGATATATTGTAGGGCCATACCTATAAGGCATATTTATACGTTTCTGTTTTCTAAATACCAAACAGATCATGCATTTTAGCCATGCCTCATTTCACTCAATTTGCACTTTTTTTAGCTCTGCTCTGCAAGGGCTGATTCAGTGAGAACAGCGCCACCTACAGGCCTGGCATATGTACTACAGCGTCTCCAGCGCTTTGGAACGGCAATGGCCGTGGCTGTCTCCTCCTGATTGGTGGAGTTGGCCCAATAGCCGTAGCGCCACCGTCCTGACGTCAGGACAGTGTTCAAATCTGGATCAGTTTTTATCAGATCCGTTGCAGTCCCTTTTTTAGAGATTTGGGTATGGAGGAAAATAGAGAGGGTTGTGTTTTCTGACACTTGGTGAGTTCCCTGGAACACCGGGGACACATATTCATGTAGACAAGACGTACAAAAGAGCATTTTGCATGATAGGTCCCCTTTAAGTGAAATGTCGTGGAAGTTTCTCAGATCTTTCATCGTATCACGGTTTGTCCGAGCAGACTCATTCATAGCTTCCCAGTTGCGTAAAGAAGCGCAGAATGTAATGCTTTGTACAGGATGTGGTGTGTGCACCTTCTTTTTGGCAGAATTTAATCTCAGCCAAATGAAATTGTTTTCTTGATAAAAAAAATAAATAAATAAATCACAATTTTCAGCTGGAATGTGATTCTCTTTCCTGGAGGAAGTGGAAATCAAAAATGACTTGTTTGAATATCGACAGAAAGCTTGAAACGTATACAATTATTTATTTGTATTTTATAGTTTCTGGCTGCGATAAAAAGTGTATTTTTGGCAATTTTCTAAAAATAAAACACC